GGGGGGGGGGGGGGGAGGGTTAGTGACAGAGCAGGTTGCCTGATGGCCGAACATAATGGTGGCTATTCAGAGGCAGTGATTGCCGTCCAGGCCAGAATACAGATGAAGGTGCAGCCAAACATCTGTCTCCATCTTCGTGTTCATGTATTCCACTGCGGTTCAACCGCACACGGATGTGGTGTGGCCGAGCTCAGCAATTCTTCACAGTGACAGCAGGCGGCGACGCTCACGGTGTGAGACACCACGTTCACCCACATTACTGTCATCAATCCCCTGTTCTCACCCCCAACCTCTCTGATCATAAATTATCTGCCACTAGGCCTGAAACTACGGCAGCAGAGCAGGCTGGAGCTAAAGGTGAAGGACAGAGAAGAGGGACCATGAGTCATGGATAATTGTGTAAAAAAAAAAAGATCACACTAGTACTACCCTACCCTATTCCCTCAACACACACACACACTCACACACAAACTCATCAATGGCCTTTTTTAAGCTCTGACAGCCTCAGAGGGAGGTTCTTATTTGTTACCATGGAAACCCATGCCCCGAGAAGCCCAACATAAAGCAAAGCAAGTCTCACTTCTGCTGTGGCGTTTATGGGCTATTAAATCATTCATACCATGTTGCTACCAGTAACAGAATTATTAAATTTCCATTGTTATGTAACACAAACGAAGCGAAGCCCCGGAGGAACGAGGAGAGAAAAAGCAAAAGGCAGGAGACTGTAGATGAATGAGCAGGCTGTAGGAATGAGTGGTTTCTGTGAACACAGAGAGAAAAGAAAGGAGGAAAAGCTTGTCGACATGTTCTGGACAGCCTGACAGTAACTCAGGGAAAAAGATGCTTCTAAGGGTGAATAACAGTTGAACTCTGAAGAGACTGAAATGTCTTAGTTATGCTGATAACCCAGTGTTGATGAAAAACAAATGTACTTAAATCAAATATTTGTCTAGATCAGATCATCTAAGCTCCAAAATCAGACCAGCTGGATATCAGCCCTTGGATCAGATTATCTGAACCTAAACCCTTTGGTCCTAGTTGCAGGTAATCAGGTTTAGTTCATGTAAACTTTAGATTATCTACCTGTGAGACTGGACCTATGTTTAAACTGTTTTAGCCAGGAATTTGTTTTTTAAGTTGTCTAAACCTGAACTTGTGGTTTAGACTTTGGTTTAGATGACCTAAGTCTAAACTCAGTTAAGGGGTGGTCAAACCTACGGCCCATGGGCCAGAAACAGGTCACTTGATGGATTTAGAAAATAAGAAAAATACACAAACTTCACTTCATGTTCAGGATATTTTTTGTAAAATTACATTTAATTAAATATGAATAAAGAAACAACAAAAATATATTATATTTGTACTTTCTTTGCATGAAAATAAAGGAGGAAAACATGGGTGTTTTGTTACTGATAGTTAATTATGTTATGATTGGACTGGTCCGGCCCGTTTGACATCTAATTAGGTTGTATGAGGCCGACACCCCTGGTTTAGATCATTCAAACTGGAAGACTTGGTGTGTGATTTGGAAAAGTTTTAATCCTGGATGTCTGTCCTGACACACCAACCCTAATTGGAGACTTTTTAAAAATTGTCCTCTATAATCATCTGTGCACCTGCTCGTCGGTCCAACTCTTTGTCCGTCCGTCCATTCAACCAGCTCTGAACCCTGTCTCTGTTTCTGTCTTTAAAATGACGTGGTGTTTAACATCAGTCACAGCTGTGTTTACCTGGCCCTCTTATCTCCTGCATCCAGCAGGGTTTGAGCAGAGGCAAACAGGAACGGAGGAAACATCAATACTGAACCTGACAGACCAGACCGGAGTCCCCTGTGTGTGTGACACACTTATTGATTCACACCCAGACAAATAAGACACCCAGACAGCACAGAAACAGCTTTTCTGCTCCTAAACCTCAGTCAAACCTGACTGTTTAATCTATACAGGAACAAGAACTAATAGAAACCCTTACATATTTAAAAAAAAAAAAGATTTAATTTCTCTTTTCATTTTGTGCTCATTCAGCTGTGTGGAGTTTCTAATCCCTTCCCTGACGACAGGTGATATCAGCTCAGGCCTCCTGTGACTCCACCAGCTGACAGAACCAAATGGATCGGGACGAGCTCATGGAAAAAGTGAGTCAGGAATGTATATGTGTCTAATCTGATCCACGAGGTGGGTTGGAGGATCAGATTTTTTTCTCTTTACTGTATTTCGGCTGATGTTAGCACATGCAGCCGTGGCTAACACAGGTCCACTCTGATGTGACAGATGGACAGAGGAAATTGCATATAAAAGCTAAGCGCTCCTGTAACATAACTGCCCCTGATCCCTTCTGCTATTACCAGAAAATGACTCACAGTGTATCACATATGTGTAAACGCGGGTGTGAACGTGTGGCAGCGTGTTCGAGGCGACTCTGACACAGTGCAGCGGGCTGCAGGAGCTGTAGCAGCGGCCTGGTCCAGGAGCTCAGGGCTGGCAGCCACTACCTGTCAGAGCTGATTAAACAGTCGGTGTGACACGAGTGTGAGCAGCTCTGATCTGGGCTGCAGCGTACCTGGCATGTGCCTGCATACGTGTGTGGGCGTGGGTGATGTACTATGTGTTTGGGAGAGCGGAGAGAGTGTGAGCGTGGTTGTTTTGGTACATTACACCGAGCAAATGTGGAACAAAATATGGATGAGACTGAGTGAACCACAACAGTGGGCAGATATATGTGATATCATTCTAATGCTGTGTGTTACCTACAGGACAGACATAAACAATGGAAAGGATGAGCTTACCCCAACTAAAGGAAATACATTAAAAAAAAAAAGATGGGCCTGACGGAGCTATCTTTATTTGGACCATGTGAAAATGGTCTCAGAGCTTGGTCAGGGACTAAAGGTCTTCAGATATACCATGCATTAAAACAATTAGTCTGAAAAACTGCAAATAATTTATCTTTATTTGTCTATGAACAGGCAAATAATGACCTACCCTTCCACTAGGTGGCAGCAGACAGTTATTAAAAACTAAAATAAGAGAGGCTCGGAGGTGTTGACCGAGATCTTCCTGTGTCTCTTTCTTAAATTTCTGCCAATATATCAGCGTTGTGTTCAACTAAACAGGCTTCATACTGAGTAAGTAAACAGTGAGTATATGGATACTAGACCGCCATCGTATTTCATTACTAATACTTTTTATGACATTTTCTGATTGGTCCAGATCAGTCCAAATTTAAATGTTGGTGTTTTTGAGATGCACACTCAACAGCTCTGAAGCTGTGTTTTCTCTGATTCATCCCATAATTTACTTTTTTATGGAAAGGTAATACACATTTACTAAGGTAGTACTAACATGACATCTAATCCCTGAAGCAGAGGTCACCAATGTGGTGCCTGGGGTCACCTGGTAGTCCCCTAAGGTGCCCGTGGGGTATGTTCTAAAAACAAAGCTAGTCAACAAGAGGGTCAACAATTGTACTGTTACTGTACTTTTGGAATCAGTTCCACTTGCAGTGATATTCAAATGGGATCAATGACAATGGTAAGAAGAGTGTGTACTGTTGTATGTCCCAGAATGTATAATTATTATTGTTTGGTAAGTCTGTGTCAAACAAGTAGCTCTTCTTATTACTTGGTATTACTAGTGATGCAGTGGGATTAGACTACAGCAACTAGATCATTGTATCAGATATAACCCCTTGGTCTTTTCCCAAAATATGTAGAGATCTGAAAACTAAAAACATCAATAACTCCATGGACATCAGTTCAAATGACTAAGTTAATGCAGATGTTTTGGATGTCCTGACATTGTTGGTGTATGGTGCAGGCCTACTCACTGATCTCCAGCTGCCTCTGGATGCGTCCCTTGCAGCGCTCCCTGTAGTCTGACTGCGTGGTGTTGTATTCAGACATCACCTCCACAAACTTCCGGGACAGCGTGGAGTGCTGCACAAGAGCCACAACAAGTCAACAACACACTGAAATGATTGACTCGAAAACCTTACAGTGTTTGTGACCATTTCACATCGTAAAAAGACCAAAGACTTTACCTGCAAAAACAAAGATATTCTAGAAGATACAGACAGTTTTTACAGTTTTTTTTCTCGATTATACATGATGGCAGTTAATGTGATTCATGCTCTTTAATTTTTTTACTTTTCCATGTTCGTTTTTGACTCTCGCTGCTGACCCCTACCTGTGTTTTGCGTATCCTCAGGTCAGCCGATGACCTATTCTGTCCTTCCTCCTGCTCGATGGTTTGTTGAATACCTGCATGAACACGGTGGGTAGTTATGTGTTAGCAGCTGTTTGGAATGTTTATGTTTGTCCTTTATGCAAAGTTAAATATTGTCATCTTATCAAATAAGGTTTAATTCTTTTCAGCTTCACAAGGAGCTGCAGACAAACCCAGCAGTCACCGCAGGAGGACAGGGTGTGTGGTGGACCATTCGCCAGGTCATCACAAGACAAGACAGAGACAAATGAACATTGACGCTCACGTTCACACCTGTAGTCAACTTAGAGTAGTGCAGGTCTCTACAGCCTGAATAGAGACTTTCAGATCCTGCAGAAAGACTTGGGATCTAACCCGTGACCTTCTTCCTGTAAGGCAAGTGTGTTAGCCATATCTCTCCTGTGTAGTTGTATTTGAAATGTAGCGCATTTAAAATATATGCTGATTGTATTCTGATATACAAGTACAAGTATTTACTACCAATTATTTTGTTTTGTTAAATATTACAATTTTCGTTGTAATTGTGAGAAAAAAAAGTCTTTCTTCTTTAACCTGCTTTAAAAATTGCTCATACGACATTTACAAGCTCTACTACAAACAGTCGGTGGAAATGGAGCAGCTCAGTTCTTACACATGATTTTGTCCCTGGGTGCAGTTTGACTACGATGAGGTCACTTGCACACAAACGCAGATGCAAAAGTATCCTGTGGCAACCACTGACGTGATCTGTGGCGACGCAGCCGGAGCTTTGTCAGGCAGAACCTGTTCCACCTGATAGCACTGGTGTCATGCATGTGTATAAGTGCACATGCATTAATGCTCCACACGTTGCTGTTGCTATATTTACTGTGTGTGTGTGTGTATGAGTGCGCATGTGCGTAAGGCACACACAGGATGAGGGATGGAGGCCATTATCCTGCAGCTCTTTGCTCAGATGTTGTTTTTGTACTTCCCTGAATATACTGTGTAGGTATTTTATCTCTAATCCCTTTTCTTTGCCACCTGAGCCCCTGCAGGCAGACCGACTCCAGGGAATTGTGCCTTACTATAAGGAAGGAATTACAGTGGGGCCGTGAGATACGAGTTTTCCAAGTTACGAGTAAGCGTTAGCAAGATATTTCCTCGTTATGTTTTCACTCAACACTGTCCCTCAAAGGGTTATTTACCCATATTTATAACAATGATATAAAATGTTTTCTTCATTATTATTATTTTATATTATCAATGTATTTGTTTTTATTTATGTTTTTGGTGTTTAGATGGGGGGATTTTAATTGAATTAATTACCAGCATATTTCTGGGGGGCTGGAATTAATTGGCTGTTATTTTTAATGTGGAAAATTCTTTCGAGATACCAGCAGATCGACACTCCACTGTTTTTTGTGTCAAACACAAAGGCACCACATGACGTACCATGAGGTAAACAGGAAGAGAAGGTTGGACTCACCTGTACATGCATAAAGTATATGTATGTACACACACACACACACACACACACACACACACACACACACACACACGTGCACCGACACTGTGTGATTGAACTATTAGATATTTAATGTTCAGAAGTGAAAGTAAATCTGAGTGCCTGTGCCTGTGAGTCACAGCTAACACTTTAGCAGAGAGTAGCAGCAGATCTACTGCTGACTGAGGAGTCTATTCACTGACTCATGTTTTTTTTTTTTTTAATCAGTTTGAAAAGAAGAAAATAGCCACATAGAAATGTAAAAATCAGATACATTCAACTTTTAGGAATTATCTAAAAAAAAGTTGGATTTTAATTCACTGAGTTTTCCCATTTCATTTTACTTTATTATATTTATAACTTTTTTAAAAAGACAACATGTGAGACTGTCTGTGTATCATGAATAATCTACTGTCAGTGAGTCAGAAATGACTCACTCTTTAATTTGGACCGCACTTTGTTGGCCAACTTCTTGATGTCGGCCATTAGATCCTCCAGCTCAGCCTTAGTTTCTGAGGAGAGAAGAGATGAACGAAAACAAATCAAACATTTGAATTTGATTTAACTTCATTTATAACTTACCATCGTAACTACACCTGTTTCACAGCATGAGTGTGACATTCTCATTGGTTAAAAGTTTATATAAATTTCCTTAACTTAAACTCAAACTCACCCGGGGCTGAAAAATGACAAACTACTACACTTTGAATAAACCTTAATTAATCAGCAGTTAATGAAGAACAGCGTCTGAACCACAGCCTCCAGAGGAGTTCACTGTTCACGACACATACAATCATCAAATACAATAATAGAGCAATTTATCATGTTTAACGCAAGAATACATGGTTTAAAAAAGTATTTATGGAAGACCAGGTTGGCTCCAAGCTACAGGAAGATGTTGACGGCTAATGCTAATTTAGAATTCAATCATCTGTAACTTTTTTATAGCCTAAATCCTCAAATTAATGAGCACAGTTTCTCAAGTATAACTTGGACTTTATTTAGTTTTGAATTTTCTAATATGCAGTATAAAATAATGCTTTTTCAAAATATTAAATAGCTTTAAATAGCTAAGTTAGCAGTTTAGAGGATCAGCCAAAGATCAAATGTACTTTGGTTTTGTTTCAGACTTACAACTTTTTTACAAAATTTAAGTAGGGACATTCATGAGCTTTAATGTATTTTTGATTGACAGTCTGAACACAAATATATTTTTTCTAGAATAAAGGAGAAGTGTTTCTTTTTTCTTATCTTTACAAATGCATAATAAACCACCAGGACAGAGAACAGATGCCACGCACTGAAACCTATGGCAAACATCTGTGTACGATTACAAGCACAGTCTGAATGATGGATAATTTGATTACACAGTATGAGGCTTCAATTACTACTAAATTATTCAAACATCATATCTGCATATTGTCTGACGGGGGAAATAACTCAGAAGAATGACACAGTCCCCTGATCTCATTTGGTACACTGGTACATTAACACTGCACGACTGACGGCTGTGACAGCGCCGGAGTTTGGAACGTCTTAAAACAGTGAAGGAAGGACGGCTGTGGCACCGGGTTTGACAACACAAAAACTCATAAACACGCAATAACCAGAGGAAGTACAGAATATTATCCCCATGACTGGCTGCTGTGATAATGCTAATGGTTCTGTTGGGACGCTGAAGCTTCTACACACAGAGCTGCGCAGGCTTGACAAGCATTTAATCTGCTTAACAAACGTATTCTCATATCAGCCAACATCAGCGCAGTGGGTGTGAACGTGTGCAATGACATCCTGTCTGAAAACAAATCCAAACATATACATAATATATATATATATTTACAACTATATACATGCACTGTATCCATATATTGATATAAACACACATCAAATTAGAAGATAATATCAGTAATCAGCAATATATTGTCCCGTAATATGTATGTATATATATATTTATATGTATATATAAAGAAGAAGATTTTAGAATCTGACTGTAACGAGGTCACCTTCGTGAAGAACAGGAGAAGGATACTGAATTGCCCATTAATTGTTCTGTGGCTTCTTCACCATCAACACGGCGAAAAGAACAAACCTCCAGAGGCTCAGACGTGAATTTTAACAACACAAGATAAATCGGCGTACTTCCTGGTGTTGTCCTGCACTTTGGAAGACGAAGGGATAACAAGAGCAGTTTTGCGGACTGCCTAATCAGCGGCTGTGTTTCCTCACCGGTCTCGTATGTCTCAATTACACTGATTTACGTCAAAACCCCAAAACCCTAACGACCATATCCTGAAGCTCCATTTGTTAAAATAGTTTCTGCACATACAGTAGATATTTTTCTGTCAGTGAATAAAATTACCCAAAATGACTAAACATCTTATTTGGATGTTGGGTGGCAGAAATGGCACAGAGCCTGGAAAAAAATAGATTTTGTAATTGTAGACAAGGAACATCAGTGTTATGTACTGTAAGCAGTGATACATCATCAATTGTAACCCTTTTGTTCATACATCAGGACAGAAGCTGATGGATTTTTAAAAGTTCACTAAGGTGCAGGTGTCAAACTAAATTGAGCTAGGGGGCACTGTTGCCACTGCCATCTCACTGAAGGGCCAAAAAACAAACCAGTGGGTGACCACATCACATTATACTGACATCCAGTTGCGGGCCGCATGTTTGTGGTTAGTGGGCAAAAAGCAGCCCGCGAACCTCGTGTTTAGCACCGCTGCACTGAGGTGTGCTTTCCTGCGTACGGTTGACAAATTAATGGCAAACGGTTTCAAACGTCACTATCACACCTTTGTTGGAGTTGAACCGCAGAAATGGAGTTGAATAGCAGAAAACTACTGACTACACCTTTAAATATTAGCCAGATCATTAGCACTGATCATCTTAGCAACACACAGTACAGTCACATGAAGTCAGGTCAGAGTGTGTGTGTGTATTTTCTATAAACAAAATGTTGTGGTGAGGACATTTTGCAGGTCCCCATTATTATTAAGTTTGAATTTAGAATAAGAAATCATATCAGATTAGAGTCAGGGTGAGGATTAGGATTAGGATTAGGAGCTGGGGAAGTCTTAGAGTTTAGGAAAAGGGCTCACACTGTGTGTTTCTGTGTGTGTGAATGTGTTTGGACAGGAAGTGGAATTCTTCCTCGTCATCAGACACAGGAGGCCAAACTGCCTGATCAGGTGTCCATACAGCCTCGTTATTGTCTGCCGTTATCAAGGAGTGGAGAGTTTGCCCAATAAGTGGAGGCAGGAGTGAGCCTGAGGCAAATTAGAGGGCAAAAGTGAGGAGTCAATTGAGCTGTGGCTTCACACTCCATCCCTCTCACAGCCACTCTCAAATGGAATCTTCAGGTCATGCTTGTCGCCATCATTAAGACTGCGTTGCTATGGCGATGAGTGCAGTGGTCCTCTCAGCCAGTCTCACATTGTTTAAAAGTGACAGAGAGAAAGAGAGTCGGGAAGCGAGAGGCGGAGACCGACTGCAAGGCCGGGGAGAAGTGGAGGAAATGTGGAAATGAAGTGACAATGAGTCGTTTACTCATACAGGAGATTTAAGGTGGAGTCAGACGACCAATATTTGGCAGCACTCGGAATGAAGATGATGTTTACATGTGTGTAGTCCAGCTTTAAAAAAACATTGTTTTTTAATGACCATCCAGATAGGCTCTTACTTTGGGAGGTTACTGTTCCGAGGTACTACTAACAGTTTAAGTTCTTCAGTTCTACTTTAAGTAGTAGAAGTAGTTTTTGATTTAGATTTTCTTCAGCTTTAAAATCAATCTTAAACTTGATTTTGTCTCTGAAGCAACAGCGAAGGGAAACCGATTCACTGAGCGGCTGGAATAAAATCTTAATTAAGTGGATTGATTGATTGGCTGATTGGCTGATTGTGACAGTGGTGGAGCACTGGGCAGTTTGTGATGTCACCATCATGTATCCAAGCTTTTGAGCTTTTGTTTTCATCATTATTACATGATTATATGCAGAGCCTTTAATCCATTAAAATATATAACTGTGATGTGATGGACTATAATTACCAGTTAATCAAAAATGTATCAGGGATTTTGTATCGGTTCTAAATATATAAAAATGAAATAGTGGTTTTCCTGGTGAAGTGTATGAACAATGTTATTATTATTATTATCAATAAGGTTCCCCGCCTTCTCCAGCCATCCATTTATCATCCAAACATCCATCCATTTATCCAATCCTCCATCAACTCATCCAAACATCCATCCATTTATCCAAACCTCCATCCAAACATTTATCAATCTAAACATCCATCTAAACATCCATCCATCCATCCAAACATCCATCCATCTAAACCTCCATCTTTTATTGCCGTGATGATTTTCTAAACCAACTTAGTAACTGTTTTATCAGCCTTTTACTTCACTGTTTAATCTAACACTGACTTGTTGTTATTATTGCAGTTTTTTTTTTTTCAAATCAGATTTTTTTTTCCACTGATAAAAATAGACAACAGGCTCTGTGAATTTATTTTCTCAGTGCCTGGTACTAACTCTGTTCCAATGAGCACTGACTTAAAACACTTCCAGCAGCAGCTTTTTGTCACTAAGGGCTGTGAATATACTGAAAAAATATATATATTTCCTGGTCAGATTCCATTCCATCCAAAAGTCCGTTCTGTTCCTTGCGAAGTATATGAAATGACAACAAGAAGACTTTCCAGTGACTACATGCTGCATTTCTCAGTGTGTTTTAGTTTTCATTTCCAACACTGATCTACATTTATGAACCCCACGCTCAAGCTGCAGGTGTTTGCAACAACCTGAGAATGTTTCATTTTAATCACTCGAGTCCCACTGACTGAGACATGGACTGAAATTGCATCCACTCAAATTGGGAAAAGAAAAAAAGTCCCTGTTGACGCTGCAAACACACAAACACCAGATGAAGCTGCTTCTAAAACAAGACTCTGTGTTCGCTTCGAAAAAAAAAAAAACCCGACAACAGTGGGCACAGAGTCTTCTTCTTATTATTGTTTTGATTAAACTACAGAAAACCAGACTGAGTCAATAAATTCCACAAAGAAATATATATGTATGTATGTATACAGTATACACAGTGATCCCTCTCCTACTGTATCGTAGTTGTTGCGTTCCAAGACCCACCGCGAAATAGGACAAATCGTGACGTAGAGGTGAGATAGTTTTTATATTACTGACGTATATATTTCCCCCCGCTATTATTAACCCTCCCTAGACTGTATTACCCCCTTCCCAAACAGTAGAGTTGTAGAATGGCGACGCAGAGCGAAGTGAACGAGAGAATGGCCGACAGACGAGGGCAGATGCTGAGAGATGCTACGATGCATGAGCCAATTAGAGTGAGGAACAGAAGAGGATGCTCAACTAGCCAATAATACGAGTACAGATTGTATTAGCCAATAGTACGCTGCGTACGATCTCGTCTAGGTAAACACACACTGAGAAAGTGACGCAGCAAATTCAGGAATTCACAGTGTTACTGTACGT